ATATAGAATATAGAGAAGAATTGCACAATGCTAATATTTTTTTAAGATAATGCATAAAAGATACATTAAATCAATAAAGAAAACATTACACACACTACCATGTATTTGACACAACACATACGTATAAATATACTCTTTGTAAATTGTCAATTGTGAAACTTTTGTTATTCTTTAAAGTTTGTGGTCAAATTGAGAATAGATTAATATTGTTTGTCTTTATTATCATTTGTCTATAGTCTTGGCGAAATCGGTGATTATAAAAGTATAATAGTCTTTGACAATAGAACGAGTAATCATGTTAAAACTTATAATTTGAATTAATTATAGTCGAATTTCGACTATTGGGCGGCCACTAGTAAAAAATGAAACCCGAAAATATATATTGTCTGTAATTACTATACAATTATTGAGACAGATATCTCAATGTAGGTGGCGACCTTCGCGTTGTGATGTTAACCATTGAACGGCAGATAGGTTGTTAATTCGTCCAATACGCACAGTCTATATGCAATAAATAAATATAAATTGTAATATACAATAAATAAATATATGATAATTAACACGTTGAACGCCATGCGGCCCAGCGGTGGGCCTAGCGTACTATACCATTCCTACCAAGCCAGAATCAGGGAATCAGTAATTTTTATGAATTTGAGATTTTCATTTTAAAATCTATAAATTGCAATAATTTCCACGGAAGATAAAAATTAGCGACTTTACCGTTTAGTTATTAAGATATTTTAAAAGGCTATAATTATGATAAATACTACAACTTTCTATTGAATTTGAAAATCATGGCGGTCTTTTTTTTTATTGCTTAGTTGGGTGGACGAGCTCACAGCCCGCCTGGTGTTAAGTGGTTACTAAAGCCCATAGACATCTACAACGTAAATGCGCAACCCACCTTGAGATATCGNTTAGCGACTTTACCGTTTAGTTATTAAGATATTTTAAAAGGCTATAATTATGATAAATACTACAACTTTCTATTGAATTTGAAAATCATGGCGGTCTTTTTTTTTATTGCTTAGTTGGGTGGACGAGCTCACAGCCCGCCTGGTGTTAAGTGGTTACTAAAGCCCATAGACATCTACAACGTAAATGCGCAACCCACCTTGAGATATCAGTTCTAAGGTCTCAGTATAGTTACAACTGCTGCCCCGCCTTTCAAATCGAAACGCATTACTGCTTCACGGCAGAAATAGGCAGGGTGGTGGTACCTACCCGCGCGGAATCACAAGAGGTCCTGCCACCAGTTCTACGGCTAAGGGTCACGCGGCTCACTTCCATACGCGCTTTGTTTGATAGCTGCAATCTGTGGCTTGTAGGAAGCGTTTACGTTGGAACCCTCACGCGGCTCGCGGGTGACCCTCATGGCCCGAATGGTTCAGTAAGATAAGGCTCACCGGTGAGCACCGTGGCCTAAATGAAAACTCTCCATTTTTCATGTAGCGTTGAACGTGTTAAAGTACCTAATAAATAAGACGTGGGAGACTTTTTTTGTAACATAAATGGCATGGCATCATTGGCATGTATGATGTATGTCTGTCTGATTCCTCGGCACGCTTGGCAGCCAAACCTTCGGTTGGATCTCAACAAATGTAACTATATTCAACTCGAATTTGGCAGTGATAAAAAAAATGTTAAATGTAAAATAAGGTAAATAAAGCGACTGCGGTACAATCTGGCTATATTGTACTGTCAAGAAAAGTACATAACTGTCAGATTTCATGGCACAGCTATAGTCTGAGAGCTTAGAAATCAGTTAAAAATAATGGTAAAATTCCATTGCATCCATTCATACTTGCACACATATCATAGGTAGAGGTGGGCTGATAAAGAATGCGTAAAAATATCTTACCGATAGAACGTAGCTAGAAGCTGCGGATATGACGGTGGGTGCGACCGAATTAGGTGCAGCGTCCAGTGACCGCAAGTAATGCCTGCTACTCCACGTGTTAACGAGGACCATGATTATCAAGATAACGCCGGATATAGCATAGCTGTCTCCCTGTCAAATAAATGTAAATGCGCCTTTATTTTGGTGTTTCTTTTTGCTTTTGAGTGTTTCGATGTAACATCGAAGAATTGTTTCACTGTCGCTACCTACTGATACTGCTGCAATGCCCACAGTGGACGAGCTCACAGCCCACCTGGTATTAAGTGGTTACTGGAGCCCATAGACATCTACAACGTAAATGCGCCCCCCACCTTGAAATATAAGTTCTAAGGTCTCAGTATAGTTACAACGGCTGCCCCGCCCTTCAAACCGAAACACATTACTGCTTCACGGCAGAAATAAGCAGGGCGGTGGTACCTACCCGCGCGGACTCACAAGAGGTCCTACCATCAGTAATTATGCAAATTATAATTTTGCGGGTTTGATTTTTATTCCTTCACCGTGGAAGTAAATCGTGAACATTTGTTGAGTACGTATTTCATTCGAAAAAATGGTACCTGCCTGGGATTCGAACACCGGTGCATCGCTCAACACGAATGCACCGGACGTCTTATCCTTTAGCGTTCGGGCTCATAAGAGGCCCTATCGCCAGAAAACGCAGTTTCCGCAGCCAGTGCTAGTGGGTATGCGGATTAGCGAATACAGCTACTGCTACTCCCCTCAGAACGACAAACTGAAGGAACGCGTTTGTTTTTAGAATATAGAGATTTCAGATGCCCACTCCGACACTGATTCCGACTAGCCCTTGGTGGTGGATGTATCCCGTAAACCCATACGAGTGAACGGCAACATTTACATTGTGATGTCTATGACCTATTATCTATATTTATCGGTCAAACATATATCACCGGAATAGTTCAGCTATGCTTATAAAAAAATCTACGTTTATGACAATGTTATTGTTATGGTAAAAATAGTCAGTGTTTCCAAAAATATCTGGACAAAAAAAAACTATCGCGAAATAATTTTGCGTTTCTGTATACCTACTGGATTTAGATGATCTATGACACTAACATAATATGAATAATAATATGAAATGTGCGTTAGTGTCGTCAAATGCTAAGATTTTAAAGTTCTTCTTAAAATAAGATGAGCTCTGTTTTTTTTAAACAGGATAATTAGAGGTAATGTATTGATTACTAATTTATAGCTCAAGGGTACAATTTATTTATTGATTGTAGGTATTTATTATCTATGATAAGCTGTGAAACAGTACCTACTATTTTTAGTGACTGAAAGTTAAGAAGTTTTGAAGTCGTCGTGGCCTAAAGGATAAGACGTCCGGTGCAATCGTACCTAGCGATGTATCGATGTTCGAATCCTGCAGGCAAGTACCAATTTTTCTAATGAAAAATGTACTTATCAAATGTTCTCGATTTACTTCATAAAAAATCAAACCCGCATAATTATAATTTGCGTAGTCAATGGTGGTAGGACGTCTTGTGAGTCCGCACGGGTAGGTACCACCACCCCGCCTATTTCTGCCGTGAAGCAGTAATGCGTTTCGGTTTGAAGGGTAGGGGAGCCGTTGTACTGTAAAAACGAGGACCTCAGAACTTATATCTTAAGGGGGGTGGCGGCATTTACGTTATAGATGTCTATGGGCTCCGGTAACCACTTAAAACCAGGTGGGCCGCGAGCTCGTCCAACCTTACTGTAGCACTATACAAGTGTCGCCATCTAGTATAATCTAAGTTTATTACTATAATTATTATTATTCTTAATCATTATTGTATTTTAATGAGAGTAGCCTTTACTTGAAACTAGTGAAAAAAAAGTAAAGTCATTCAACATTATCTATATTTAATGGGTAAAGATAAAACAGTATGTATTGCAATTTTCTTATCTTTTTATCAGTACATTTTGAAGTGTAGTTTATAGTCGAATTTTGTTCAATAGTTGAACATTCAATTAATTAATACATATTATGATGTATGACGATTAAAAAGATTGACCTAGATAATGTAGTCATACAGTATAGTTAAAGCTACAAAAATTACTTACATTCACATACAATTTGAAAAATAGCACGATAAACTTTTGTCGTTTTACTCAAAAAAATTTATTTAAATCATTATTTGACATCGTTTTGTTTTAAATCGTCATAAGCTTTAATAATTTTAACAGGTCGTGTCGTTAAGTCTTATCAATTTCATAAACACTTCTAAATAACTTACTACTACACTTTCAGTTCCAGCTAGCTTCCCCAAAGCGCTTCCAGCAGATCCCCAAATTCCAGCAAGGAAAGCCTCATGAAACATTTCCAATATTTAATAACGTATTTTAATTTATAAGTAATCTACAATTTTCACTTTTGAAGTAAGAGCCTCCCTTGCAACACGATAATATTCTTAAGATAAACACAATTCAATAAATTATTGTTTAGGTCCACATCAGCTGTTCTTTACATTGTAGGAATATTGTCAACAAAAAACAAATGTTTTAAAACCAAAATGTCAAATTTTAAGGTTATTTTAGTGGTGTTGGCATTTGATAAATAAAATGGTTTAATTTTGAATAAAAAAAACCCGTTTATTATAATAATAATAATGCTATTCATCTTACGTGTAAAAGTACTAATCGACATTCTATATCTGCATGCCGTTCTAGGTTGATATCTAAAGTCTAGAGAATCTACGAAGGAAATAGTTAACTTTGTGTTTTTGTTGCATTATACGTGTAATAATTGCGGGTTATTAATCCATTAGCGTATATAGCGTCCATAAATGTGACACGGCTCCTCGGACTCTTCTAGTTTTGCAGCGAAAGCAAAACTTTACTATTTTCTTATCAAAGTCCAATTCTACCGAAGGTTCAGTGAATTCCTATTATAGTACTAGGGCATTGTTTCATTTTATCCCATTTTATTTGATTTAATTTCATTCCATTTCAGATCAATCAAATTTTTCTATTCCGTTTCGTATTGTATCCGTTCAACAATTATTAAACAAATTGTGTAAATAGTAATTATGTAGATTTTATGAACTAGATAGTGGCAACAATGTCATTTGAAAAAGCTGATTGCCATACTGAAAAAATAAGAAGGGAAGTGCCTGACAATTGAATTGAAATTCATCATTGTTCATTATTTTTAATCATTTACCTAAGCCAGCAGTCACTGGTTAGGAAATTTACCAATTGCCTGTTATCTTTTTCAAGGAAACAAATTAACTGCGTTATAATTTCGTTATCTGTTATTTAAAAAATACTGTAAAATCATTGTTAAAAATCCTTGGCTTACAAACATGGACAACTTGAAAAACGGAGACAATGTTCTTATTATTTGGAAGAACGACAGTCAAGGAAACATTACGAGCCTAATAGAAGACGTAAAAAAAGTAATTCAAAGTGATACTGTGGTTCTGGAAAACTCCGACATGATCACTGAAGGTAAATTATACATTTTAGTTCATAATTCTCAGTTATTGGTCTTATCGAATTTTAAAGTTTTTTGTATTAGGAAAAGTTCTATACTTTTTTCATACGTTAAGTAGCTCTCCACAAATCGATTATAAGTGTTTACCGGAAAAAAAAGATCAGAAATCTATCTGTGCATAGATATGTTATAAATAGGGTGTCTTTAAGTTGGCTGTACTATTGTGCTTACTTATTACTTACTCTCTCTTACGTGTATTCTATAGTTTTTATAACTGATGTGGTTATCTCAGAAAATGTATGAGAAAAATAATTGTGTGCTTTTTTGTAATGTTTAAATTTTAAAATCTTGTTTTTCTGCTATTTCATCTACTCTGATGTATAAAATACCACGTAACTTAGTCAGGACACAACCGAATTGTTAAAACTTTAAAATAGCAAAATAATATTTATTTACATCATATCCTAACATGTTTTGGCAAAGTTGTTCAAGTTTCAATTTATAGAATGATTCCAATGTCAGGTATCAAAGGTTTGTTTATCAATGTAAATTTAGATAAATTGTAACTATTTTAAGTTGTGTTTTGATAAACCGGCTATTGACTGATTTGGTGATCCAGAAGTGTGCCCCTGATGAGGGCAGAAGGTTGTGATGTATATTAGCAAATTAAGCAATCATGTTTGTAATGAACAGGTTTGTTTGTTCTATGTCTAGTGTTTAATATCCATGTATGTGTATATTTAACTGTATAAAATTATGAATATTAATCATGTTATCATAACACAGATAATCCTAGTTTTAATGCTTTAAGATAGTCTAAAAAAGTTTAAATAAAATTTGATAATTTTTCAGGTTCCCGTGAGCATTCATCATTTGATGTTGTTCTCTCAAACTGGTTACCTCCCCACAGTGTCTCACATTCTGATAAACTATTGGCAATAATCATTAAATTACTCAAACCAAATGGTAAACTTATACTCAAAGATCTCAACAAATTGACCAGTACACTTAAATTAAATGGTTTTGTAAATGTCACTGAATTGGAGAATAACAGCTATGTTGCGGAGAAACCAAAGTTTGAGGTATGCATTAAAAATGTTTGAAATGAAGGATTTACCATTAACCAATGACCTGGTACAAGGATGTATAATATTACAATATCACTATAGTATTAAAGGCATTAATACCAATTGCCACATACTGCCTAGTGGGCCTATCCTACTTGTTTAAACATTGTAAAGATGATATCGACGCTTGAAAGGCAAACGTGACTAAGCGACAATGCGTAAACTTTACAGTAGACTAATTTAAAGTTGAAATACCTGAAAACAAAATTTATTTGAACGAATCTAGCTGTAGTAGAATCTAGCTAGTAGCTGTAGGATTGAAATGATTTTAATAGACCTAGAAATATATTTTTTTTGCGCATCGAATATGGTTATTGCCTATCATTTATGTACAAAGCAGTTATTGTCGCTTAGTCATGTTTGCCTTTCAAGCGTCGATATGATTTTTGAAATATTTTTAAGCTGATGTTAATTACCAGTTAGTTACCATAACCAACAGACATCAGAATGTGAATGCTGTCTGCCATGAGACATAACTGTTTGATGCTGCATTAGTACAAGGGTTTCTCGGCCATTAAAAACGGAATCCAATTATAACTTCTGCAGTTTTTTTTTTATACTAATTTCTGTCAAAGATGGTAATATCTGCTTCAATAGCTGACTTGCATTAGCTCATACTTATATTTATGAAATGAAAATAACTACAATATTTTTTTTTAAAAATGTCTTGAAATTGATAATTCAAAGGAAGAACAACCAACAGTCATGGAGCCCTGTTTAACTGTGTCCTTAGTGTACTACATTGGAGAATATTTTTGGAAATACTGAAAAAACTTAATTTTATTTCACTAAATAGCTCTTTAATAACACAGGTTGGTTCAAAGTCATCTCTGAAATTAAACGGAAAAGCCACAGTCTGGAAGTTGGACAGCACAATTGAGGAAGCTTGGGCCAGCACTAACAACGATGATATTATTGATGAGAACGAACTATTGGATGAAAATGACCTTAAAAAGCCAGATAAAGAAGCTTTGAGTGGTAAATTAGTTTGAATTTTTTATACATTTATTCTTCGGGATTTTAATTTTATAGAATCATCTTCAAATTTGAAACTTATTTGGGCTAAGCTTATTTTCACATATTTTGCAGAATTTAAAAAAATATAAAACCTTATATAAAATTTTTACTTCAAAATATACAAAAATCAATACTAAATTCACAACAAGATCATTTTAAAGGGTGATTTATAAATGGTATTGATGGTGGTAAGACACTTTGGTACAGGTCGATACCTAATAACTACCTTACGATATGATTACGATAACTATAATCAAACTACGCTAGTCGGTGTTCTGGTGCTACGCGCTTTATATCCATGAATAGAGTCTTATCTATCGGCGGTTCGCGCTCTGTGTAAATGGCAAAAACAATAAGCAAGTGTTTGAGCTTATTGTAAATTATTCTTTGATTGGCAACTTATAGAATGTACAATAAAATATGTTTACACCAAAGTATTCATATGTCAATCAAGAATAGTTTTATTTATGTAAATATTGTAAATGCAACCTATTTATTAAAAGTGGTATGTAAATTAATTTACAATGATTTTGATATTATGAAAGACATGGGAACAGTGGTGGTTTCCATTATCATTTGTAATAAATTGATAAATAATTGTCTGTGAATATGTATTTCTTCATTAACATGTTTGTTCTGAGGTTTTGTGTTTCAAATACCATCTTGTGATTCAAGAAAGTGTTATGTCATCATTTATCATTTTGTTGACTGTTTTATCGTTTTTCTTTAATCTGAAGAGTCATTTGTAATTTGTAACACAATTAAACGGAAATCATATTAAAATTAGGGAATAAATAGGTTGTGAAACAATGTTCCGCCCTTTCACTTAGTTTCATTCTTATCGAGTGCACTTGCACTCTGTACTAACAGAAAGCACTATCGAGAGTACACGCAGCAACAAAAGTTTCTTTTCTATTTTCATTAAATTTCGAAACAAGAATTTATAATTTTTAAAACGAGAATTAAAATTTCCTTCCCTTCACGTCGATTTACTCATTAGTGAGGGACCTGACTCGCACGCTGCATCAGTTTCTCGCGTACGATTTCCCTCCATCTAATACGATCCTTAGTTTCGCAATCGTGGAAGTTGATGTTCAGAAAATATCGAGTTTGGTCCGACCATCTAGTGGGACTGCTTTCTCTGGAACGTTTGCCCTCTAACTTGCCTTTCTTTTTTCGATCAGAAAATAAATGACATAGTATAGACTAACCATTTATTTTAACAGAAATATTTCCTTAATATCCGTTATGTAGATTCGTGTATAGCTATCTACTGGTGGTAGGACATCATGTAAGTCCGCACGGGTAGGTACCACCACCCTGCTTGTCAGGGACGTCTTAAATTAGGCTGGGGCCTTTGGGCACACAAGAATTTGAGGCCCTTTTGGAAAGTAAAAAAAGTTTTTTTTTTTACTGAGTATGTACCATTTATTATATAGGTAATCAAATACAGTATGATATAATATTTCATTAATGATATTAGAATGCTGCTGGTTTTTTGGTTACGATTACGATAACGGAAACCGTTATCGTGATCGCTAGATGGTGTACATACTTAGTAAATTAGGTAGGATGCGTTCGGAAATATTATTAATTAGTACAGTAGGAATAGGCGCAGTCATCGATATAATGGCGTAGTATATGCCTCGAAATTACCTTCTGATAAGATTACTGATTTGTGAAAAAAGTGTAATGTGCCCGACAAAAATGTTTTAAGAATAAATGTGTGAGAGAAATTGTCGGTCCTTCGGGGCGCCCTGAGAATGGGGGCCCTGGGCACGGGCCCCGTCTGCCCTTATGGTAAAGACGGTATTGCTGCTTGTTCCTGCAGTGAAGCATATTTTAAACACAAATGAAAATATCATTAATATAATATTTGTTTCACGTTAATAGTATTTATGTGATTACATATTTTTATTTAATGAACATTCGTTAAAACAACTTTTTAGATTGTTTTGTTACCACAAGTTTCGGTGTTATTTAATTAACTGTATTTTTTTTTTATTAGTAAATTTAAAGAATGTATAAACTCCCACTTTAGTTATCTAGGGCAAAGCACATAGTGTTTCAGTCAATTTGTAGGCCTATGGTACTGTCGAAAACGCATACATTTTTTTTTTTTCAGTTTGTGCAACAACAGGCAAGAGAAAAGCGTGCGTGGACTGTACCTGTGGCCTCGCCGAGGAACTAAGGGGCGAGACAAAAGAAACTCCAAAATCGTCGTGTGGAAGTGTAAGCTATTTAATGTCATTATGATTTGAAAACATAAAAATAATTCCTGCAAAAATGAATTCTTCAAACTTGTATATTAGTGTGTCATTAGCATACATAAATTCTTTTCGGTTTTTTTTTAAATATAAAATTATATTATCTAAAATCTAAATTAACAAGAATTTTATTAATGGTAAAAAAAGACAATCATACATACACTTGTGACAATTGTGGCCGAAATTGCCTTTTTTTTAAATCTCCCTTTATTGTGTAATATTTACCGTTATTAATAATTATGTGGTAGTATAGTATATTATAATCCGCAAGGTAGGTATTACCACTGCGGAAATGAAATATGAAAGGAAAATTATTTCTACGGTTTAATTATATTTTTTTTTAATTTTATATTTCAAGTCTATTATCCTTAACCATGAAAACTGTAAGTATTCGTCAAAAATAAGATAAAATATCATATTATAGCGAGATTAAGCCGTAATAATATTTTTAATCATTTACGGAACCCGATGACAATAGAATACGAAATATCTATGTTATGTTGGAACCCGAGCTAGTGAGTGCAATGCCCGTAAACGAACCAAGCATTGGCATTGAAGGATTAAACAATACCGTGGACCGTTCCACCGGCAAGCAGCAGTATAACCGAATATTCTAGAACATGTGTCGTTTGGATTTTTCCAGTGTTACTTGGGCGACGCGTTCCGATGCGCGACCTGCCCGTACCTCGGCATGCCAGCCTTCAAGCCCGGCGAGAAAGTGATGTTAGATCTTAAGGCCGATATATGAAAAACCGCTTAGATTTATTCCAGTGCACTGTATTAGTATTTTACTTGTTGTGAATGCCTTTACTAAATAAAAGTTTTTGTAAGATATATCTGTGTGTTTGATTAAGTGTGGTCAGTTTTTTTTTGCTTCGATGTGTGGACGAGCTCATAACTCACCATTTGCCTACCTTTGCTGATAGCCTTAAGAGGCTATTTCAGCTTCGCCCTAACATGTAGGTGAGCTCACGGGGCTCAAACCGGAGTGTTGCTAACATTGACCCTAGCAAGAGCAGTGCTTCGAAGAATCTACCATCGGATCGGAAATGGTGGTTATTACTGGTGGTAGGTCCTCTTGTGAGTCCGCACAGGTAGGTATCACCACTCCGCCTATTTGTGCCGTGAAGCAGTAATGCGTTTCGGTTTAAAGGGTGAGGCAGCCGTTGTAACTATACTGAGACCTTAGAATTCATATCTCAAGGGTGGGTGGCGGCATTTACGTTGTAGATGTCTATGGGCTCCAGTAACCACCTAACACCAGGTGGGCTGTGAGCTCGTAACTAAGCAATAAAAAACTTTAGAACACTGATTTTATTTAGATTCATTATATAAACGATTCGCCTTACCATTAAAACGAATAAGGGTAATGCAAATAAAACAAACAGGTTATCAAATAATCAGTAATACATATTTTTCTCTTCTTTTTACAAACATTTCACTTATTCATTAACATATTCTCGATCTATAACACTTCCGTCCATTTACAATAAATCTGTAATAGTACTCATTCCGCTATACAATAAAATATATAATCCTTTCGTATTTACTGTATTTATAACATTTCATATATTTATTTAAAATTTAATGACACAATTATATCCGATCTCTACATGCTGGAAACAGTGCATTATTACTTTATAAACATTTTAACAATTATTATATTTATCTAAATATATATCTACTACTGTTCCCAATATGTAATATAACAATATCGTTCATGGCAAGAAGATTATTTTTTCTTACCACAAACAAATGGAATATAAGGGCACATCCATAGGCATTCGAAAGTTTTGAAGATTTTCATCTGTGAGGTTTTTAAAATTCATGGAACTTTGCGGAACGCCTTATGGACACGTCCTTTTCAGAATGGCACAATCATTTTTGTGTCAAACTAGGCGTTGCAAATAAAACTGACTTTGTAAATTTGACGAAAATCATCATAAAGTGTGCTTTGATTTGTGTTCGGTTACAATAATAAAACATTTTACTTGCACGGTACTTGTGAATTTATTAAATTATCATGTTTTGTTGTATTCGTTATGTTGTCTGTCCTCTTTGCAACACCTCTAAGTTGTTAGTGAGCGGTATTTAAACTAACATTACGGACTATGAAACCATTACTGGCCGTACCTAAAATTGGCAACATCAAATAATTCACGAATCTCTTAATACGTATAAACAATTTTGTCACTACGCTTTCAACACTTAAGTGATTCACGCAATCATAACGAATCAGAGTCGTAGTCAGAAGTTGATTATGGTGATTAGTTACATATTGTTTTGTTTGACTGAATGTTTTAGAGCGACATAAAGAATTAAATATGATTAATTAAATAGACAATTTTTTTTTGTTAAAATGTTCGAACTGACTACGACTCTGTATTGATTTTAACAAGCAACGCTACATTTTGTTATCATGAAGTATTCGACGATTTGCATAAAACAAATTCATTCATAACAAACGTTCAGTGAATTGTGTTGTCACGGAAATTGATTCTATACAAGTGTTTTAAATTCATTTATTGAAATTACGTCAGCCTCTGGTTTACGTATATGACGAATTTTATAGTTACTCAAGTCTGTTTTAAATGCCGGTCGTATCGTTTTTTTTTAATTCCCGAAATATTCGCTCAGGGAAGGAAATTGTCATCACTAATAATAAATGTGTGAACGAAGAGTTATTGAAACATTCTACTCATACATCCTTTCGTTTATGAGTTTTATCGACTAAATGTACCTACGTAGAGGCGAAGGCAGTTTTATGATCAACACTAGCCGCGACTTTCAAAATTTCGTTTAGTTATATCGAGCATGATTGTGCCTGAACAGAACACGTAAAACAAGAATAAAATAGTACTTTCATCGAATTAAAATTAATACTTTCGGAATTAAAAATTTTGGGTAATAATACTTTTGTTTTTTTATTTAACGAATTTTGTACTAAATTGGTTCATTGAATATGTCGAAAGCGGAGCCTTGCAAGATAACCACGAAACGAGCTCGCGCCCCCCAAAATAAATGCTCCTTATCTCATAATTTAAGTAATATCCTCAAAGAAACTACTATCCCACAACATTCAGTAAAGCGTCCCAGTCTTTTTAAAAGTTCATTTTCATCAAATTGAGATCTTGTTTAGACTTTATAGCGACCGGCTCGCGCGCGTCCGCGGCGATGCACTAGTCTTAATTTGTGAGGTAGGCTTAGTCATGATCTAATGAAAGCGCCTTGTTAGAAAATACCGATTAATAAAATGAGATCTTTCATTACAATTACAAATATTAATATAATATAAAGACGATTAAACTAGATTTACATACAATATACAACGAATCGTTAATATTTTTTTTACAACACCAAAGGTCGTTCGTGCGATTTTTGTTCGCACTATGCGTTCTGTTGTCGACGGTTAAAATAATGAATTATTTATAATAAGCATGTAGCGTTTAACGGTACAATGAAAACAACCCTTCTAAAATACAACCGTATGTTCCACACTGTTGAGTTCAGTCGCTTAGTCGGCTAACTAAATATTTTTGGCAAGTTCTCATCGTGTAACATATCTCGGTGTTCGTCGGTAATACATCGCGGAAGACCGTGCAACCAGATTTGTTGCCAAAATATACTGTAACTGAAAATTACTATTTCATTATAAGCTCGTACAGTAATCGTGAGCGTTTGGAATTCGCGATATCCAAATATAATTTTAGTTACGTTTTGTTTTAGCATAGTTATTGCAGTTCGAGAAACAAATAATACAATATGTCGAACTTAATGATTTATATAAAATTAATATGATTTTGATATGGCCATGCGTTTGTCGTTATGTAACATAACGTTATATGTATATTAATCACAGACGCTACTTTTTTTAATTTACCTTTTACTATTTTTTTAGCGTATTCATTTTGTTTGAGTATACAACAACTATACAATTTCTTACCAATAACGTTCTTATATTCCTAAAAACATATATTCCTTTTAATCAAGCAATACTTCATACCCACTCCGACCAATAACTACAAAATATCACAGACTGTGTGTTTATTATGTATACATCTTCTCATAGAAAAGTTTTATGTGTATCACNCTTTTACTATTTTTTTAGCGTATTCATTTTGTTTGAGTATACAACAACTATACAATTTCTTACCAATAACGTTCTTATATTCCTAAAAACATATATTCCTTTTAATCAAGCAATACTTCATACCCACTCCGACCAATAACTACAAAATATCACAGACTGTGTGTTTATTATGTATACATCTTCTCATAGAAAAGTTTTATGTGTATCACACATGGACGTCAAAAGCAATAAAGATGACATCTAAATAACCATGATCACTATACATATCAAATTTTTACAATATACATATTATGTACCTATCATTATATCAACATTTATAAAATACGTTTCAATTATTTGTCAAGAGAATCTGCAACCTTCGTTTAATGAATTACAATGGAAAGAGTCTGATACACACTATTCTAACGCGTGAGAGAAATTATAGGCGCGCTATGAAATCACCACAGATATGTTTGCAGTCACAACCTTCGGAGAAAAACGGAGCCTTGACATGACTGCTTGGAAAAACTAAACACGGAAATCGCAAATCGGAGATAAGCACACGTCAGCCCTAAACTGCTAAAACATACGACCTAACATTCATTGTACCTTTATGTCTTAAAAATGCGACGCCATGTATGTCATGCACACAGACGTTCGCTCTGCCCTCTTGAAATCTCATTGGTTATCACAATTTCTACCCTAATTTAAGTTTCGAAACCTATTTTTTATTGTTTTTGTGCTCATTAAAAAAATCCGACTTAATTCATACACAGTTGAGACTTGAATCTTTATTATAACCTTTTTCACGAAAACCATCCTTTTTCAATTTAGTAATGCAGAATAATAGAGGTTTTCAATCAAATCACACGCAGATAACCAACGGTACTTTTGTGACAGTGAATTAATTAGTCATGGAGTGTAACATTTAAGTTTGACCTAAGTTACTTACATATTTACAACGTCGTACACAAACGCGTACAGAAGCACCCGACAGTAAAAAGCACCTAGAATTCCCGAATAGAATAAGCGTACCATAGTGGTCGGCCGATCGCTGCAGAAACTGCGCAAATTATAATGAACAAGAACGATGGTCACAATTTACGCAACCCGACTCACTGGGGCCGGAACACCTGCAGTCCGCTACGGCTTGATCACCAACTGAATTACTAGTGACGTACCGTCCACAAGAATTCAGTTGATGTAATGAAAACAGTCGGAAAACAGCTGGAAACTGCAACGAAGGCGATCACAACACATTTAATTATAGTCCACACGTTTCGGACATTTGACGTATGGCCCGTTGACTCAACGTTTTTTGAGGGGTGGATGGTCTTCTTCGCATACATCGGAGGCTGACCAGCGTCTTTTACGGGCATCCTCTTTGACACTAAGGTTCTCTGGATGTGTCTGTGGAGGTGCCGACGGTGGCATAGAGCTGGGGGCGGGAGGCGCGGGTGACGCATGTTTTCTCGGGGCCAATGACACGAACACATCGCCTATCTGAAGCCGATGTACACGCAGGCCGTATTGTGCCAACGTACGCTCAGGTTTATATGACGCCCATCCCCGACCGTACACGAAGAACGGATGTTCCACGGTCGACTCTAACTCCACCTGGAAATCGAGAAAGGTACGTTTGTACAAATATTTCCAGTATTGCCAACGTCACAGTAGCCGCGTATAAATCTTCCGCAATATCGCAATCTTTCGTAATACTCAATTGAAAGGCATTCATTAGTAACGCTTTTCTAGTATTTTGTAGATTAGTCGTGATTCAGTAAACGACCTAATTGTTGACAGATCAAAATCTAATTTCAGAAAAGTTAGATTTTTTAGATGCCCTAAACTGGTAAACAGTAAAAGCTTTTTATTCGCGGACTATATATTCCGTAAATATGCCGCGAATACAGAAACCATGGGAATGGTAACTATACAAAGGATATTCGGTTGGATATCTACTGGATATTAGAATCCTTTTTATCAATGTGTATGTACCGACTAGAGACACGAATAAAGGAATCTACAAGAGGAATGGGGTCGCATTTTTTAAACCCGCGAATAGTGAAAACGCGAATAAGATACTTTTTACTGGTGGTAGGACCTCTTGTGAGTCCGCACGGTTAGGTACCACCACCCCGCCTATATCGGCCGTGAAGCAGTAACGCGTTTGTGTTTGAAGGGTGGGGCGGCCGTTGTAACTATACTGTGACCTTAGAACCTATATCTCAAGGTGGGTGGAGCATTTACGTTGTAGATGTCTATGGGCTCCAGTAACCACTTAACATCAGATGGGCTGTGAGCTCGTCCACCCATCTGAGCAATAAAAAAAAACTATTAAGATTGGGTTCACAGGTGAGTAGGAATTTTTAAAAGTCTGACCTGAGAGCGATTCCTGCCGTATGTAAGCGTAAGTGCTAGTTTGTCACCCCGCTCGTCTAGCCTCAGGACGGTACACTGTGTGAGTGCCAGTTCACCAATACGATCTGCACTCATAACAAAGTCTTCCGTGCGCATCTCCTCGACACGCCTCAGCGAACCATCCTCAAGTCGAATCAGCGCACCTCGACAGAAATATGGAGCGGGAACGGCGCGCTCTGGAGATCTGGGTGATTCCTGGAAATTAATGATTTTATAAAAAACGAATTCTCATTAGGTACATTCGTGACTCAAAAATATCTGACGCATAAAAAGGAACATTTTTTTTGTTAAGACAAGTTATTAATATGCCTTTATTAGCTTCAGACTATGTAACGGAATCTTTGAACATGATTTTGACCCCTTTCAAAACGTTGGATTAACTCGAAATTTGGTATACTTATTAAGGACCGATGACAATTTAATATTAAAAAAAATACTGAAAAAATTGAAATTTAACTAAAAAATGAAAAATAAATTTTATAATACAGTCAAAATCTGTTATAACGACATCGAAGGGACTGCTCATATTCAGTCGTAAAAACCGATAGTCGTAACAACCGGTGATGCTTAATATGTATCGTGCCAGTACAAACAAATCGATAGGGAATTATTGGTAAAATATATTTACATAATACGCGATTTTTCTTTAATATTCATTTGTTTTCTTTTTCTTTGCGGCATTTTGAAAGTTTCACGAATAACTCCACAAAGTTTTGGTGCGTCTTGTGTATAGATAGGTAACAAACTAACTGAAGAGATATGAAGAAGCGGGCTTTGACTACCGCATGCACGTGTTTTGTTTATAAGAATTAGAAAAGACCCTACACTAAACTAAATCCTATTGTTTTCTTTCCTGATTTTAATAGCCATTGAAGACAAATGTGGATACCTATTCAAATTGTTTACAATACAGCTTAGCCGGTCGTACTAACAGATCTAATTCTCCGAAATATTAGTTAAATGTGGTCGTTTTATGAGGTATGTCGTTATTACCAATGTCGTATAAAGCAATATTTTTAATAAGGCGGTCATATGGCATTCAGCCGGGACCTTAGTTCTAGGTTATTATAACCGGCATGTTGTTTTAAACGATGTCGCAGTAAACGGTTTTGACTGTAGTTTAAAACCACTAAAAAAATACACTTTTATAGAAAATCCAAATAAATAGAAAATAAATTTTATTAAATTTGAATTAAATTTAAAAAATTTAAAAAAATAGTGTAAGAAAAAAAAAAATTATTAGAAAAAAAAAAGCATGGGGTGCATGGTATCAGTAGTTATAAATATTTTATGAACAGATATGAGTAGAAAGGTTATTTTGATGATATCCAGAAAAGCACCCCACGCTTTTTTTTTACAATAAAAACATTTTTTCTTAAGACTATTTTTAATTCAAATTTATTGAATTTTATTTTCTATTTTTTAGTTGGATTTTCTATAAAAGCGTATCTTGTAAGTTTATTTAAACCATTATTTATTTTTCATTTTTTAGTTGAATTTCAATTTGTTTATTTTTTAAATTTTTTTTTTTAATATTGATTTGTCATCGATCCTTAATAAATATATCAAATTTCGAGTTAATTCGACGTTTTGAAAAGCGTATTTTGTTAATTCTTTTAAAAATAAATAATAGCTATTTATTTGTAAAGGATTACTTGCCTCTCGCGGAGGTGGTGCGGGGGCGGGCGCAGAAACCGGCGGTGACTGCGGTGCCGGCGCGGGCGATGGAGGCACGAAACCGGATGAATACGGACGGTGTTGGTAGTTCGGAGACTGCTGGGCCCTCGATCGGTACAAATACGCATAGGAAGCATGGTGCGGTAGAAAGGGTGTGTATGCCGGTACGGTTGGGAATGGCGCGCTGGGCGGCGGGGGTGCGGGCATGGGCTCCCGGGGTGCGGGGCGGCGCGTGGGGTAGCGCGCGTACGGGCGCGGAGGAGGCGCCAGGAACTCTGGAGTCATGCCGCCCGACGGCGGAGGGTACAGTTGATGGCTCAGCTGCCCGAGCTGCAGCTGGGCGAGCGCCTCGCCGGGCAAGCTCGCCGAAATCATCTGATGACCTGAAATAAGAAATAAATAGATATTATTATTATGATGATAAGTTACCTATTTCTGCCGTGAAGCAGTAATGCGTTTCGGTTTGAAGGGTAGGGCAGCCGTTGTAACTATACTGAGACCATAATATCTCAAGGTGGGTGGCGCATTTACGTTGTAGATGTCTATGGCTCCAGTAACCACTTAACACCAGGTGTGCCGTGAGCTCGTCCACCCATCTAAGCAATAAAAATAAAAAAACTTGAAATACAACAATTACTATCACTGCGCAGAGCATTCAATCCAGGCTACGGAAACTGTTTCGGAAGCCGAAATGGTAATAATATACTACAACAACATAAACTTGAAACAAGATTTACTTAGTAACCTAAGCATAACTAAATACATAGTTATAACCTCCTTACTGGTGGTAGGACCTCTTGTGAGTCCGCGCGGGTAGGTACCACCACCCTGCATTTCTGTCGTGAAGCAGTAATGCGTTTCGGTTTGAAGGGTGGGGCAGCCTTTCTTATTATATCTCAAGGTGGGTGGCGCATTTACGTTGTAGGTGTCTATGGGCTCCAGTAACCACTTAACATCTGGTGGGCTGTGAGCTCGTATACACATCTAAGTAACAAAAAAAAACATACATAGTTATAAATTTATATAGATTTTTAGTAAAACGCATTGTACAGAAGACGGTTTTATGAAAGCTCCCCGTTAAGCGAGCCGTGTGACGGAGAACGACACCGTATCTGTTTGTTATTTGAGGTACATTTGCGTTACAAAAAACGGTCCAAAAAAATTTAACGAGATATTTCAAATGTTATCAAATCAGGTATTACAAGCGACCGTCTGTTTTCATTGAGAAGCGACCGTCTAAATATAAAGAGAATATGCTAAAACTAAAATGGACACTCTGGACCAAAATTTATATCAGACTAGCTGACCAGGCAGACTTCGTAGTGCCTCAATCGATAAATAAAAGACCGACGGGGGACTCACCAAAGCAAAAACAAAATTGTTATTTTTATTTATTTTTATTCTGAGCATTTTCATATTTATCTACCTTTTAAACCTTCTCTGGACCTCCACAAATAACGCAAGACCAAAATTAGCCAAATCGGTCCAGCCGTTCACGAGTTTTAGCGAGACTAAAGAACAGCAATTCATTTTTGTATATAGAGAAGATAGATTAGGCTTTAAAAGATGCTTGAAAAAATTTATTCGAATCGTTCAAAACCAAGGGAACGCTTCGGGTTGAACACGTGAAATCTCCAAGATTAGTTAAGAGAAATAATTAGATTAAAATAACGAGTTTATTCAAAGCATTGTGAGATACAGAATCTGCGTCGGCCAGCATTAATCGTATAGTATCGCAGAGATAACAATGTAGAACGGTCGACGTCAACATTATAAATAGATTTAGTTCACGTACATAAAACTTAGTAATTCAGTGTGCACGCCACATGACTTCGGGCGTCTGTCGTGTGACTATAAACACGGCTTTTATTCTATTTTTAGGGATCCTTAGGTCTATGATCACATAAAACGGATTCTTTGTCGGTTTATCGTTCGTCCATCATTATATGAGTACGTGTGACCGTATGCGGTTCTCTAGTTTACGTTTCCACTGACTATTGACTAAATAATATTCGGAATACTAGTTTTAATGCTATTTTGAAGTACAAGATTTTTTACAACATATTTTCAAAGACAATTTATAATTCTACAGATCTATAGACAATAGCACGTTAGGATTATTTTTACGTATACGCAAGGCGTTACGTAACTAGTAAGTTCTCATAAAGCTGAGCACGCGGTATCCAATACACGCGCTTATCTGCATTATGGATTACCCACTTACTATAATTCCGATCTCAATACAAACAATGTTAAACGTAAACAAATTCTGTTACGCTTCAAAATCCAAACAAGAGTTCGGTAATATCGTCATGATTAAAATTAGGCTAACGTAACATTGTAGTCATCGTCCACATCCAAACCTACAAGCAGTTGCATTAGATACATATAGTTAATAATAATGCGCACACATCTTTGGTTTTTCCAAGATTTTAGTGAAACTAAGAGGCTTCTCGCATTCCTGTGAACGTTCGTGGTACATACGATAATTTGAAGAACAAAGAATGTGTCCGCACACCTGCTCAAACAATAAGCTCTTTTCGAGTTAACACATGCACGTCTTACAAACTAAGGGATATCGTCGTGAGCCGAAATGTACTCACATTATTTATTTAGTACAAATGCATACGGTACAGTAGAATATAAGGTACGTTTCGATTGGAACTCCTTTATAATGCTTTCTATAGTACTAATGGCACAGAAATGTCGTTAATAAATTCGTGCCTCCCGACTAAAGTGCTACGCTTTTCATTAGTCGTATCTAGGCTGTATAGAAACTGAATTCACAATAAAAATTGTTAAAGATGTGAAACTCAACAGAACGTTACACAACTAGGCTTTCTAGACTTAGTCACGAACCTTTCTTGACCTTGTTATTTATTGTGTTCAATGATTTTGTAAAATCGGTTATGGCTAATTTAAAGAATCGAAATTTCAGTATTAATTTTCAATGGTTTCAGTTTATTAGCAGAATTACAAATAAGAGTTATCATAATAAGTATCGAGCAATATCTCTATACATAAAAATGAATTGCTGTTCGTTAGTCTTGCTAAAACTCGAGAACGGCTGGACCGATTTGGCTAATTTTGGTCTTGAATTATTCGTGGAAGTCCAGAGAAGGTTTAAAAGGTAAAGGAAGGTTTAGATAAATATGAAAATGCTCGGAATTAAATAAAAATAACAATTTTGTTTTTCCTTTGATGTGTCCCCCGTCGGACGGATTCCTTTTATTTGTCGTGTATTTATCGATTGAGGCACTACGAAGTCTGCCGGGTCGGCTAGTTAAATGATAAAAATAATGTTTTATATTATAGCTTACGATTGAATTTACGTTATTTTTGCTGTTCCTATAAATATGATTAATTCTAATACTTTAATTCTCCATCCGTACAATTTACTTTTTGATAGTTCCGTGATTCGCGCACGAGGAAACAAGATTATGCGGCTTCTACTGACGTGAGTCACAAAAACAATGAGAGATGGCCGTATATGTGACTAACTCTTTAAAAATTCAAGCCAATTAGCTAGTTCTCAACCGCCGGCCCAAACATAGCCGGAGGCCGACAACACTGCATTAGGTTTTATTTTTAACAGAGATCTACTCGTCTAACAATAGTCAACGGAGCTAGCGACAGAATTTCAGGCATAACAGTAATTTAAATAACATTTTCAAATATTAACATCGCTATTGAGTTGTTGTAATCTATTTAATAGTTATTTTGAGTGTTGATAACAACGGCCGAACTCTGTATTTATGTTAAGTACTTATGCCAATATATAATATATATGGTTCTTTGTGTGTGTAAGTATTGTATAGCGTAATGAAAACCAAAATCCACACTGATTTTTCAAACTCCTACATTCCTAATCCCCTCACCCACTTTTCGTTGCAACCCGCACGTCGCACAAACCCGTCTATTTCTTTAACCAAAACTGTAAAGCAATCAAGTATTCCATTTTGAAGGTTGAGATATGGTTTGGACGTATCGTCAAAATCTTAGACAACACTTTCAAAAATGTCTAAAGCTGGTTCGCTTCGTTTTCAATAAATAACGTTTTTTTTAACCACTCTTGTAAGTTTAACCTAATTTACCAAAGTTTTAATTCCATTCTGAGATTACTGTAATGCTTGGCTACTTCAAAATACTCTAATTAAATGCGACTTTCATACATTTTGCATCCGGACGAACAGATTGACGTATCGGCATTATTCTAATTCTGTATTTCCGACGCAGAACGTTGTTTTTCTGAGCGTAACAGCGTAAAAATACAACGAATGCTAGAGTAACTAAAAATAAAACTGGCAATGGTATTTATCATTTGCCGGAAAATCGAAAACAAAGGAAGATGGCTAGAATATTTGAATATAATATATTAATTTGTCCGTTTGATTCAGTAATACGATCCGTACCCACTCGACTACCTACTATTCCTTCATCGATAGAGACCCCATCGTATTTCCTAGACCTCAGCGTACTTACATAATTTCAGAAATGTTCTATATTTTCAGTTTTTTTTTTTTTTTCCTACCTAAGCTGATAGGCTTGAGAGGCTATTTCAGCGTAACTTTAACTAGTAGGTGAGCTCGCGGGGCTCAAACCTGACGACTTTGCTTACATGAATCCTAGCAACAGCCGTGCTTCGCAGAATCTACCACCGGATCGGAAACGCGACCCACTGAGAAGATCCGGCGAGAAAGTCAGTGGGCTGTGTCTGAGGGTTAATTTACGGGTTCGACGAGAACGCTAACCGGTGCTTGAGGTACCTAAAAGCACCGTTAGTGGATCGGGAGGATCCGAAATGAAGTGTTTGGGGCGACGTCGACTGCTTTCCGTTCTTTCCGCAGGATCGGGAATGTAGTTATCGGCGGCCACGATGAGAGGGTTCTCGTGTCGTGCCGCTTTATCGAAGTGGATTTTCAGCACCGATCGTGTTCACCCTCATTAGCTCTTACGGGTTCGAAACTACACAAAGGAACAGCCACTATTAATGCAACTGAGACTTCTGCCAAATATTTCATTTTTCAAACTTTTCACTTGTGTTGTCTGTCCGGTCAGTCCGTTTGCTCATCCACGATATTAAAAAAAAAGATGGCCGCATTACAAGAGTACACACCTAACGTCATTCCTCATATTGAATCATTATTCAAATATTCAAATTAAAAGGAATTGTTTGAAATTTCGTATCGTTAAACCCGTTAAATAGATTAGTAATTATGCATTATTATTATGTCTAGTGTCAAATATTCTATATATATATATACCTTTAAACGAGCAATTCTTGTATATATATATATATGTATATATAATCTGAATCTGGGAAACGGCTCCAACGATTTTCAAAAAATTTAGTATACAGGGGATTTCGGGGGCGATAAATCGA